CAAAGACCAACATCGTTGGTGTCTGATTAACTCTGGATTGGAGGGATATGCAAATAGTTCATAATTGAAACCCAATAATTTTATCATTATATTTTCCTGGATAAAAAAGAGACACAACAAAAATACCGAACTCCAAGGTAAAAAGTGGGAAGTCCATAAAAATAGACAAAATAAAACATTAGACTTTATCAACCGACGGTTAGAATGGAAAACAACTCATTTTTCTGACTTAGTACAGGCAATTCCCGAAATAATGGTGGGTTAAACCTGGTTATAAAGCTAGCTAAACCTTCCTCTTGTACTAAATTGTAAATTTTAACAAAGACCAACATCGTTGGTGTCTGATTAACTCTGGATTGGAGGGGTATGCAAAGAGTTCATAATTGAAACCCAATAATTTTATCATTATATTTTCCTGGATAAAAAAGAGACAAAACTGTTGTATGATACAAACCTTCACAAAATATAAACAAATGTGTATTGTATATATTTTCAATTTCAAGAAACATGATACAAGATTAAAAGGTTTGTTATGTATTTCAAAACTGAAACCAAAACATGCGTGAATTCCTTGCAACAGGTCATCCGTGGATCCCTGAAATACTTTTTTGGCAATGGTTTTTTAACGTGAAGATAGTAATGGAGCACTTTCCAAAACCAGGATATAAGATGCAATGTCACAATTTCAATTCAAATGTTCCCTCAGCAGGGGTCTCACTCACAGACGGAGAGATCAACCTTAGGTCCGGGGCAGCATTTAGAAACAAACATGCACGGTATATGCTAACAACGACATCAAAACTATATTGAACAAAGAAATCTAGAGATAGCAAGTTCAAAATGTGCACGTTTATGCGTATGGCAAGATTAATATATATATATATATATTGATAAGAATTGAACATTTGTACAATAAAGATAATTTAGCAATGATTATACACATTTCACATCTTTTGTCCAACTCACTGGTATAACGTTATATGAATTTAAAATATCAGCGTCCTCAGTGTGTTATTAAAATTTTTTTATCAAATATTATCACCAAATAGAAGTTTAATTTCAATATCAAATTTCTTTTTCCCCAAGATGATCCTAGAGGGATTCACATCTAGAACATAAATAAAATAACCCTCAATCAATAAGGTGCGTCCGAAAGTTTCTGAATTTACCTTCACCAGGAACGCTTACACACAGACATTCGAAAGGCAAGTATGTCTCGAAATCTTATTACGTGAGGAACTCTATGACAAGAAGGGTTCTAAAAAGAATAGTCAAATTAACCAAATGTCAATTTTGCCTGAGGGAGTTATTTTGAATAAAGAAGGCTGTCTAATTAAAACTTTCACAAACAAATCTGAATATTTTTAAGCGTGACAAAATCATTTTTTTTACTGGGTACCAAAAAGAATATAAAGCATGACAGTAGTATTATTTCTACCTTTTAAAAGCCTTTTACAAATACATCTGATATTTAAGACGATTTATGATTACTTGTATTCCATGTATATCAGAGCGTACCGGTATTTCACTGAACATAGTTACAGTTTGGATTTTTAAAAAAATGTACAAAAGATGTAATTGAAATATTGAACTAAAATAGTGATTCTAATAACATAGATTGACATGATCCCATAGGAGCACTAACAATGGTTTTTAATAATCAGCGTCCTCGGTGTATTGTTAAACTTTGATCTAAAATAATTACCAACAAGAGGTTTAAATTTAATATAAAATTCGACTCCCCAAAGATATTTTTCAATTGATTAACACTTACAGATAGTAAATGGTTTGCAACGAACAAGTGTCTTTCCTATATAAGGATTGGTTGTTATTGGTCATTTCAATAACATATGTGAAGCCATTTGACTAGCACGTAAGTGTATAATAAAGTGAGTACATTTTATGTCTTTGTGAATATCATTTACATCTGATAAAAATATTATTTTGAAACTCGTAATCGCGGAAATAAATCTTCTTCTTTCATACAAAGAAGGCAAATAGAGTAGAAAACAGGTCAGGCGTTGTATTTCTATCTTTTTAAGCTACTTACAAATAAATAAATGATTCAAAGACAATGTATGGTTATGAAAAGTGATCTGTTTTGAAGGCATCGGAAAGGACAGATTTAACCATGTCATAATATTTAAATTTCAAGGGCTATAATTTTTGTACCTTAATAAACTAAAATTGTTTTGCTTTATGTACTTAGATGTTAATTGCAAGTAAATCCGTGATGATCCTTCTATTGCTCTTACTAAATGGTTTGCCTAGTAGAGGAGAACCGTCATTACCACGTAAATATCCAGCAGCAGCTGATTATAAGGAAGTAAAATATTTAACGCAGAATATCTCAAATCACGAGGAAAAAGCTGTCATAGAACATCAATTGCTGTACTGTCCAAGACAATCATTGTGTAACGGGCTTACAAGGCTTCAGTTGTCGTCAAATAGTTCAAACAATTACGCCAGTTGCTGTGATCAATGTTCATGCAGTTATGACGCGTTACCAGATGAACATTGTCCAAATATTGATATTTCAATCACGTCTACATCAAAGACTTGTATCTACCCTCAGTATAAAGTATTTGGTCAAACAAATCTTACAGTTAAATATTCATATTATATGGTTGCAGACTGTGCAACCGACTTCAAAGACAGTGATATAATAAACAAATGCACTTCCGACCAGCAGCATGTTGATCTATTTGATATTGACCTTTTCGTACCAGTTGCACCAATCAATAAAACAATTGTGTACAAAAACATCTTTTGTGCATTTTGTAATCATGAAAACGAAAGCAATATACAAAGCTGGGAAGCGTACGTTTTTTGTAATAATGGAACGCCATTTACAAAGACACCATCAAATCACAAAGAACTGCTACAAGAAGTGCAATCATTTGAAAAGTGCAATATAAGGTTTTCTCATGGAAACAGAGATTTTGAAAAGTGCAACTGGGGTAAATATACAAGATGTAACCAGACGGGTTATTGGACTAACTATAACATGACTGTAGATCATGCTTGTAATAATTACACTTCGGTGTATATGGGTAAATACAGAAATGTATTCTGCTACATGTGTAATACTGACATACCACCGAAAATGGGATGTACCAACGATGATTTTATGGAAGATAGTGGAAGCGCTATATTTGGAGCATTCACTGGACTAATACGCTTAACAAAACATGTTTCCGTTGCTGGAGTGGATCAGTGTGGTCATAATGAAATATACGATACTAATGAGGTTAGTAAATAATATGCAAATATCATTTAGTTCGCGTGAAGACACATCTAAGAAATCAAACTGTAGCAAAATTTTATAGTTTTTTTTCTCTAAAAACAATTGATAAATTATCAAAATGAGTTAAAAGAATCTAGGAAAGAAAACGTACATAGATCAATTCCACAGAACATCGATAACTAGCACTTTTTTTTTAGGGATTGAATTTAGTTTTGAAGATTTTAGTTTTTTAATCATGTGAATGCATTTTAGTTCGTGGTCATTAATATTAGTAGAGAGAACAAAATAGATATTTCTTTGGAAACGTCAAGTCATTGATCACTTTTTCATAAATAAGTACAACAGTTTAAAATGCGAATCAAATGTTTTTGAAGGCAAAACCCGGCTTTGTGATTATTTTATCATTTCGAACCTCGATTGCATGCGTTGACACAAAAAATGAAGAGATGTAGTTTGTTGGTCAATAAAGCAAATACTCGTCATATACCACAGGACGAGGATGTAAACAACTGTAGAGTTCCATACCGTATAGTAAACTACAAAAGACACGACAGGACAAAATGTGAAAGAATTCAAAATAAGAAAACCAACGGTCTGATGTTGTATGGTTGATCTGTTTCTAATTATTTATTTTTAATTACTATTTTTGATTTATATCATTTTGCCCTTGTCCGTAATTCCGTCATTTCGCAACGAACAGTTATGCTGTCTTTTTTTTCTTAACGCCTCCGCATATAATTTTAGTATGCGAGTCTACTATGATGAGTTAACAAGGAAAAGAAATCTGATGATTTGGGGTGGTTTGAATCAACTAATGATATAAGATAAAACAAACCTTTCGAAGGTATGTTACAATAATGAAAATATAACCACTCTATAATTGTTAGTATTTTTGCAGGATATGTGTCGTGAAGTCATATGTCCTTCTTATTACCAATATAACAAGAAAAGTAATTCCTGTGAAACAATATTCAGTGACATGTCCAATCTAATGTATGAGATCTACTACAGAGCAATAATATCTGACAATACTTGTATCACTCAGTCCTGTTATATACAGTATGCTTCAGCAGTAGAGTTTGCAATAAAAGACAGAATACAGTCAGATCTCCAAGGACTGGTTCAGTGTGAGAGAAGCATAACAGAATGGTTCAGTGATGATTTGACACAAAGAAACAGTTCGAATGTCATCGTCATTATCAAAATAACGTTTGCAAAACTACATTCTCATGATCACGTGGAATATATAAAGACTTTAGCATCACTGAATGAAGTTACGATAAGATATAAAGGCACACCTGTAACAGTTAATCTAGATATAACGTCAAGTATGGAACTGGAATTTGACAGGACCATCGACAGGCTTCCTAGGATACTGATACCAGAAATGTATCATTGGAATTGTGTCATGAAGTTTGAAACCATAAGCATAGTTTCTGATTTCTTTTGTCCCAGAATTAAGTTTAGTGTGAATGAAGTTGTCCTTTCGGGGAGTTACTTTAAATTGTCGAATTTCAATGTAACGTACGACTTCAGAGACATTATCAAAAACGGAAACTATTATTTGGTCTGCGTATATCCGTTCATGAACTTGATTCGCATTAATACTGCGAGAAGGGATATTCTACTAGATGACATTGTGGAAGAAATATTATCGCTCATATGCTCATTAGTATCAATAGTTTCTCTAGCTATAACGCTTGTTATATATTTAGTTTTCAAGAAACTTCGCACTATTCCAGGAATTAACAATATGATGCTGTCTTTACATCTATTGGTTGCACATTCGTTATACCTTTTTGGCTTTAATGCCACCTGGAACGATAAACTATGCTCATCCCTTGGATTACTGACTCATTATTTCTGGTTAGCATCTATTTTCTGGATGCATATTTGTACTGTTCATATGTTTAGAGTTTTCTTCAGTATGAAAATGAAACCGACTGTCAAACAATCAAAACGAGTTGTAGTTGTCTACAGTTTCTATGCTTCTATTATTGCGGGTCTGTTAGTAGCCTCTAATATAACGTATTATTTAGCAAGTGATCAAAACAAGCAAACAAATGGATATTTAGGATACGGGGGAGACAAATGTTATATAACATTGACAGAAATGATACTGTTTACTTTTGCAATTCCTGTTGGTATTCTCCTAGCCTCAAATGTTGTTTTGTTTTGTTTGGTCATTTACAAGATTGAAAATCTTCCAGAAGTGAATTCCAACAAAGGGAGAGATAGAAACATGTTTGTTATTTATGCAAAGTTGACATGTCTCACTGGGATAACATGGATGTTTGGATTTATCTATGAATGGATACATGTACCTGCATTTTCATATGTATTTATTCTTTTAAATGCATCCCAAGGATTGTTCATATTCTTATCTTTTTGCTGTAATGATAGAGTCAGATTACTGATATCTTACAAATGGCGAGGTCTATATACACACGAATCGGGATCATCTAGAAACTCTTAATAGAAAATATTGATCCTTTAAATGATTTGTAAACAAACAACTTATTGTCGAATTGTAAACGATTTGGAATTGGTTTTTTAATTTTAATATAAAGGTTGCATTTATGCGGCTAAAGGAATCTGCAGAATGGTTAAAACAGTTTCCATGTCAGTTCAACGTGCTTCGGCTGCATTCGAGTGTAAACATAACATCAGCATTAAATGTGGCATCTGTTATTTTATAACAGGAATGCAATGCACCAAGATGATATGCACCTAATATGTTTTTTGCGTACAGACAATCATTGTCTATACATAACCTGTTTAAATGTACCTGTAGTTCTTCAGCTGCAACGCATTTACATCTAATCGCTTTTGGAAGAATAGAAACGTACTATTTGGTGTGTGTGCGTGTGTGCTTTGTCTTTAAAACCTTTATCTGATGTGTTTAAATGTCAAATAAAACACGATGTAATTCAATGCTTGGCATTGTTTGTTTGTTTCATTTGTTCAACAGAAGATGGAAAATAACGTAGCACAATTCAATATGACACTGCAATATATATTTTAGAAGCTTGAATAAAGAAACCGAGATTACCCCAGTTTTATCTAGAAAAGTTTTTGTATTACAAATAAACTTAGATTTTTCAAACGTTTGAAATTATCCGATATTATGTTAGCAACTGAAATATTTTTGAATTATTTCCGATTAAAATTGGGATTTTCTTGAATTTAAATGAGACTTGCGCTTATGTGTACAACATAGACAGAGCTTTTTTTAAATCAGGTATGATGCCCCACCTCAAGCAGCATGATCAACCATACCTAAATAAAACAACTTTTTTTAATAAACTAAACCTAATATTTTTTATTTACTTTAGTTTGCACAATTATTAAACTAGCAAGTTCGTCATTTTTTACTTTTCATCTCCACTCGTATCATAGTTATAACCTATAATTGCTTGCCTATAATTGCTTACATCCATTTCGTTTGAACTTTGGTGGATAGTTGTCTCATTTGCAATTATACCACATCTCTTTATTTTAAATAGTTGTTAACTTTTATGTCATTTGGTCTTTGGTGGAGAGTTGTTTCATTGGCAATCATACCACATCTTCTATTTTTATAGCACTGAATGATTGTAAATTAGTAATCTTGAAAGCGGTTTTGCTTTATATACGAACAAGACAGATTCGACTGAATAATTATATACAAAATGTTCATATATGAAAAAAAAAAAGTATTAGTATTAGCACTTTAGACAGGAGCGATAGTCAACCAATAATACCAAATATATATTTTTGAAGCTATTTCCCGTTTTCTAATTGTATTCTTGAATCATTACTGAGGTTGAATGCCTTATGAGTGGACACGATCCACAAACGGAGTAGGATACGCAAACCTTATAAACCAGCTGTCATCGCTCGCAGTTTTATGTGAAGTTCATATTGACTGCTATCCAAATACCTCAAAATGTTGATTCAGGGTTTTCTTCTACACACAAGAAAAACAATTCATTTCAACTATCAAAAAGTTATCAAGTCTTTAGTGCATACAAAAAAAAAGATTTCCTCTTTTCTTGGATTTGGTACATATTTTTTGGAATTCAAAATCCCATCAGTTAACTGGAAAACTATATTGGTTGAATAAAACTCGCTCAAGATATGGGGTCTCCTCGTTGTCGAAGTCATGCTCTATTATGTATTATTAATCAAATAACAAAACTAAATATGTACAAAACTTCAGTCATTCAGTGACCGGTTAAATGGATAAATATTAGTGTCTTCACTTTACTGACTTGAAGTTCAAGTATAAAACATTGTTAGTATTTAGTTGAATTAAATGCTAATATTTCTGTAGATAATTTTCTAGTGGCGATGAATAGTTTGTTGTGGCTGGGGATACACCGGTGGTGATTATTCATAACGCCATCTGGTTATGGATACTGCCCAGACTCACCATGCATCATCGGTGGTGGTGCTGGAATGACAATAAATATAGAAACGTATACATTGTGAACTAATTTTTCATTACTTATGTGTTAGTTCTTATTTATTTTGTATGTAGTTATTATTCGACGAAAAAGGTGATAACTATACTGTTTTTAATGGAAAATTGACTTTCTCGGAATAATATTTATATTTATTTTTCTATTTATACACGCTTGCCATTGAAATGTTTTCTTTTGCAAAAAATCTTAAAAGTGCTTTTTCGAAGGAAGTACACGATACCGCCTTGTTTTGATATTTTGATAACAATTGGGAGGTATTAATACAAAATATGACGAACTAATTTTAACAATGTCAACTGTCTACGAACCTCAAGATTCCTATTTATGTATCGCGTATGAAAAAAACTCTCAGAAAAATCGACATAGCGTTTACATAGGTAAAACGCATTTTCGACAGCATGGTCTATCGAAGTTTAATCCAAGGAAAACCATTCTTACGGACCGATCATATTTTAAATACTCAACAAAAACTTAATAGGATAATTTTCAGAAAAAAATGAATCTTATTAAAAAGAGGAAGAAAGGGAATCAAAATTGAATGTCTATGCATTACCGACAACTCCTTGAGAAAAAAATCTGTACATTACACAAAACACATTCATCAGGAACGTTCAAATCCGAATATTTGAAAGCCAATGATGTATGAGAACCGAAACATTTGATGGGTATTCGAGTATTGGAATTATGATTATGATTAGAATAGAATGTACAGTAAAGTAGCACCCAAAGGAAAATAACTTATTTGATTTTTCATCTATGCTAATATTCTATACAAATAGTCCGACATAAATGAAATCATCATTAAAAATAATGAATGTGATTTCTTGCTACCATGGGACTCAGAGAATAGAAGGTATTATTTTTTTTTTCAACAAACCAGCACCTAACTGTTCACCTTTTATTTTGTCTATTTACTTAAATGGTAAAATATTAGTTCAAATCAGAATTAGAACAATCAAAAACTGTCACTTCTATATTTCGTTTAAAAACTATTGTACCTTTGTTTTGATTTCTTATTTTGATTTCTTATTTTGATTACATACTAGGGTAAGTGTATTACGTTCGTTAACAAGTTGGTGAAGTTTTCCACACCAACCATCCATGCAGATCCTTGCAAATGTTTCTCAACTTTTGTTTTGAACAATGTTATGTTGTCAATAGTTTGGAATTTTGTGTGACTGTCATACAAGTGAAAGGTTTAATCTAACTAAGTTTAATCCACCATTTTCTATATAAGGAAATTCCTGTACCAAATCTGGAATATGAGTTGTTTTTCGTTCTTTTGATGTGTTTGAGCTTTTAACTTCGCCATTTTATAATGGACTTTCCTTTTTGAATTTTCCTTGGAGTTCGGTATATTTGTTATTTTACTTTTTATGCATCAAACTAGTTTTTTTCTCATAATAATAAAATCAAGTGATACCTTCTGATAATTAAGATTACCTTGTTGTTGTTGTTGCTGTTGATTGATAGCAGTAGTTCCGCCAGTGTGAGGGGTGGTATGAATAGTAGTCGTCCTGGTTGTATGCTTTTTACACACGATAAGAATGACAACAATGATAAGTATAAATATTACAGATCCTATTACAGCACCGGTAATTGTAGCACTGAAAAATCAAGGGTTGATAAAGTATTCAGACATATATAGTGATAATTACAGTGCACGTGCGTGAATTAGATACATTAAGAAATTATATGGTTGCGAATGATACTGCCCACAACGAAGGAAATTTATGATCGCCGTGTCAGATTCGTAAAAATATGGTTATATTCACATCTCATTGTAGTATGATTGCCAAAAGGACATGTTAAATAACATGAATATAAGCAATAAAAGGTCACTATGAGAAAAACCAAAACCGTCTGGCCAGCTTTAAAGAACCTTGACATGAAAAAGGTAAAACAATTCAAATGAGAAACTGCTTAGTTAAATACAATACGATTTAAGAAAAACAAATATGACCGACATGAACCGACATGAACCGACGACATTCACTCAACAGGCTTCAGACTTTGGACAGGCATATACAGAATGTATCCGGGTGAAACATGTTTGTGACCCCTCAACCCTACTCATGACCAGGGACAGTGGTTGACAGCACAACATGAGAAAAACTGTAAAAATCAATAACAAATGGCTTCACACGATAGATAGGTACGAAGTAACTAAAATAATCGCAATGGACACAACGCACCTATATAATACTCACGGTTATTGAAAGCTAGTTCAAAGTCAATTACACCTAATCCCAGACATCATGCTAGCCTAGACTAAAATTTCAATCAATGCACAGCCAACGGATTTAGTATAAAACGTCATAAACTTTCTGAGAAATGCATGGCCTTGTGCAATGCCAAAATAGATATAAATAGTATAGACATGATGTAGGATTATGAGTACTCATACTATAACACATAAAATTATATACATACCACAAGAAGAGGCAGAATAAAATCATCCTCATAAATGGGAAAGTTAACAATAGGAACGTCTCGTTTGTTGTAATTTCGTGTATATAGTTTCAGTGTGACATACCTTATAGTCCTGAATATGTATATTTGGTTTTGCTGCTGGACGTGAAGCAACCATCAATCAATGATAATTACTATTATCATTATAAACATAGGTATTATTATGTTATTTATTGTGTTCCTTCTTTTTTTTTTATTTTATAATACAATCATAGGCATTGACAAAAAAAAACCCTGAAAAATATGAAAAGACTTTTGAAAATGAGCCAAATGTCGCAATGAAATATGTAAAAGAACAAGGTGAGTTAAGGGCTATTTAAGTCTTCCCTTTTCGTCGAATTGGAAACTTTGAAGATGACGCTCATCCCAAATGTTAAATGATCTGTATAATCTGATTGTCCAAGTAGTACCTCAACTTGTAGTTTTTTCGCTAATTTCCATGCAAACTGAGACCATAAAAAGACTATGAACAACGAAAGTAATAAAATTCTACAATTGTATATTATTTGAGAAGAAATTCAAACAATCTTCTCTAGTCTTTTACATCTTTTAATGTGTAAAATATCAGAATGGTTTACGTTGTTGCTCATATACTCAAACTATAATCTCTAAAGAGCCTGTGTCGCTCACCTTAGTCTATGTGCATATTCAACAAAGGACACTCTCCAACATTGAAGACGAGAATAGAATTCATGACAAAAATCTGTTTTTTATTTTTTATTGCTGACCCTTTAGTCTGTTTAATTTCTCTCTATCTTCTTTAGTTTTTGCTCAAAACACAAAAGAGGGTAGAAAAATCCTCATTTAAGGGCAATCACTCCTATAAAGAGTGACAGTCTTCTAACTATATCAGCAAAATTAAAACCTGTTAACAGATCTTGACTTGCTGATCATTTTTGTGGTTTAAAGTGTATATTTATCTATTATAATTTTTATCATATAAGGCAAAATGCAAAAAAAAGGGTCAACATCGTCACTAATGGGCAATAACTCTAATAAGGAGTCGATGGACGATTTCCTCTATATTGTCTTAA